ACAGCTAACCATAGCTAACCATAGCTAACTACAGCTACCGAAAGCTATCTACAGCCCTGTTCATGGGTCGGCGCTCAGCTCGGTGAGCTGTAGGGGCGCCCCATGAGGAAAGGTCTTTAAACAGCAGATCTGCCTGAAACAGCTGGTCACTAATGAAATCTGTCAGAGTGGATCAGAACCGACAGATCTGTCCGTGTTGGAAGATAAGCAGGCGTCAGAATTTAATTTTGAGGTTATTTTTAACCAGCGTCTGAGTTTCCACCTGCAGAAGGTGTAAAGGTGTCGGAAAGTGTCTTCACCATTTAACTCTGAAGGCTTCTGTGAAGTCGGTTCTCCACATTCTGCACATTTACAGGCTCATCGTCGTAGTTTTGGGATCTGCTACATGTTCACTTGCTTTAGACAGAAACATGTGCCACTGGAATCTGAATCATTTATATTTGAAGCTGAATTCAGTTGCTGTGAAACTCACTGAACTGACCAGAAATCCAACTCGACATTCAGTTTGTACGATTCGGAGGAAGTTTTTTGTTTTAAAACCAAAAGCAGAAACACGTTTCAGGTGATTTTAAACGATGAGAAACCAACCAGTCGGTCTGGTTCTGGTTTTCTGCTGATTCCTGTTTTTGCTCTTTGTTTGGAAGAAAACTGAATAAAAACAACAAACCGACGACGTGACTTCATTTTCCTACAAACCGGCGTGGCCTTCGTTGTTAGATTCTGTTTTTCAGTGTTTGGTTTTCAAACTAAGAACAGAAATAATCTTTTTTGTGATGGCCACAGACTGTGCAGCGTTCTCTGAATCAGAGTTTTAATGAGGTTCAGATTCAGTCTAACAAATTCAAATTTAGATTTTTATCACAATTATTTCAGTCCATTTACAGTCAAGTCATGAGATTGTCATGTGTTTTTTTTAATCGGTTTTTCTAGTTCAGCAAATACATTTATGAGATTTCCACTTTTTTCCACAGTTCTTGAAACTGAGCACTTTAAATTCAATTTATTAGATTCAAACTCACTTTTTTTTTACACAATTATTCCAGTTAAGCAATTCAGATCACATATAAATGATTCTAGTTCAGTCTTTAATCATGCAAACGAAACGACACAAAGAAAAGGAAAAGCAGAAACAACAAAGCAGCTAAAAAACAAACTGAAGGAAGGAGAAGCTGAGGATCGACTGTTGAACCTTCTGACCTCCAGCAGCAGCTCCTGGATCACGTTCCTTCACTGAGGTTCAGGTTTCAGCATCAAGTCCTGCAGCTCTGAGGAACCAGAACCACATGAAGGAGGAGAGAACCCAGAGACGTCTGCTGTCAGCAGATAGAACAGAGATAGAAGAAAACAAGATTGTTTATTTACAAAAGTTGGAATCGGCACATTCAGCATTTTAGACTTTTTTAGAGAAAGTTCTAATTTATTAAGTGTTATTTTATTATTATGACATAAGACTGTAGAATAAAGGGATTTTCAGAACATGATAACTTTCAGCTCAGACTCTGGTTCGTTTGGTGGCCGTTCCACCGGGTCGGGTCTGTCGGAACCTTTAAACCTCCTTCATGTTTGTACAGCTTCCGGCTGATGTTTGAGGGTCGATGCCTTTAAGCTGCCGGGTTCAGAGAAACACCTGAGCAGCATGACAGCAGGTGGAGCTCTTCTGTCTGATGTGTTCATGTGTTTGTAACAGAACCGCTGACGGACCGGTTTGTGACCTCCAGCTGGATGTCGGGCCGAGTTGTGTCGACCCTGAAGCCTTAACACTGCCATCTCACCGGACGCTTCATGTGTCTGTCATGGAAATAAACGTGAGACTCTTTAAGCCCTGAGTCCTGTTTCATCCTGTTCCAGGTTCAGACCGACCCGCCGCTTTTCTCCACATTCATTCTTCACTTTGAGGTTCGTATTAAAAGTCAGAATAAAACGACGTTAACTGTTCAACGGGTTTGTCTACATCTTCACAAACTATGAATCAGTGTTTTACAAAAGAACATAATCAGACGTAACCAATAATCTGATGAACAAACAGCACCGAGTGCAGGAGGTTCACCACATCTGAACAAAGCTCCTCCAGAACCTCCTCAGAACATCTGGTTCTGTATCTGCAGAACCTTCATCTACTGACCAGAGTTCTACCTTCAGACTGTGAATGTTCCAGAGGTCCAGGTCCTTGAAGTCCACAGAGGAGGGTCCAGATTGATCACTTTAATGGACTTTTTCCATCATTTCTGAGCCTCAGAACTTCATCAGAACAGCAGATAGACACATGACATGTTCAGTTTAACGAGGTTCATGATGGAGTGAATGACCTCGGCTCTGTGGGGACATCTGGTGACAGCAGCAGGTACTGCAGCTCCGCCACCCTGAACCAGGTAAACACACCTGCTGAGGACTGAGGTTTGGTCAAAGGTTCTGGAAGGAACCTGAGCTTCATCTGGAACCGATCTGAGGGTTCTGCAGCTTCAGCTCAGCTTCTGTTATAAGTTGGATCAACTTGAAGAATGAAGTTTTACTGCAGAACCAACAGTTCAGAGACCTTCAGGGAACACAGGGCTCCTCGTTCACTCTGCAGAACCTTTTTATATTTACTTCAGTTGTTTTATAGTTTGAATTTTGAAGTTATTCCTCATAGTTCAACATTCTGATGGTTCCAAGTTCTCAAAGTTCCGTGGATCTAGGTTCTAAAGGTTTCACATTCTGATGCTTTCATATTCTGATAGTTCTATGTTGTAATGGTTCAAAGTTCTGATGGTTCTACATGCTGTGATTGAGGGTCCACTGCAGGCTGCAGCGCCTCCTGCTGGTTGGACCACACACATGCAGCCTGAGGCAGCAGCTCAGTTCTGCTCTCTGACTGGACCAAGAGCCCTTCATGGACATGAACAGGTGGAGCTGCTTCACCTCACACAGCAGTTTCCCATCAGCCCCTGCTGCATCACCGCTACAGCTGGAGGGTCGGAGTCCACAGAGGAAACCAGTGGCCCCAGTTCACAGCAACGGTTTGTTCCCAGTTCACTTAAAGGAATGGTTAGTTAGCTTAGCTTAACATGCAGACTGGAAACAGCTGCTAGCAGTGGGTTCTGTCCAGTAGAGAGAACCGTTCTGTGTAATGTCACCCAAACATCAAGTAATCAGATTACCTCTCAGGTGAACAGCAGAGTATTTCCTCTGATGAACAATAAGAACCAATAACTTTACAGAGACGATATTAACAATTCAGTAGAACCTCAAAGAACCAAACTGAGTCCAGCTGTGGTT